TGGCATTAAAAGTGTATAAATGCTGCGTGCCGAAACCTTATATCTACCGCCGGTTACTGCGTTGCGCAACTCTGAACCTCCTGCCGGCTGCTGCGTGGCGCAGCATTTTGTATTCGTCATCCTTTTCATGACGCTTGCAGCATAGAACGCACTGTCATTGGTTCAAATACACATGAGGTGGGTCTTGTTGATTTTTTAAAGACCACGTGACCACCCAAATGTACTGTAGTTCGCTAAAAATCACGTCAATCAATCAGCTATACACGTGCATTTGTTTGGGATTTTTTTTGGAGACGCGAGCGAGAAAATGGCAACGACAGAGGCGTGTGCAAAGGCAAGAATACCGAAGGCAAGACACAGCCCGACAAATTAAGCGTCTGGGACTTACTTTCACTTTGATTTGCGATAGTTTGCAGCGCGTTGGCTTGATGAATAGATGCTCAGCTGCTCATCTGAGGTGATGCGTCGTGTCGCAGTAGCGTCGTCATATCTGACTATAACATGACATATAGCCTATAACACGCTCTCACACGTTTATCTTTTAGCATTTTTGGGAGGAGTAAATTTTACTTATGTGGTTTCAACAACCAGATGCATTTACACTTGTCCAGTTTCGTCTGGAATGCGGCCCAGACCTCCTCCTGAAGTGGTTTGAGCGATTGGATTCAAATCCATCTCGGAGGGCATTTACACCTGGTCTTTTCACGATCGGATAGCTATCCGATCACAGAAAACGCGTGAAGTGGCCAGGTGTAAACAGCCCACACACACCGCGCGCGCCGAACAGACGCGCGGTCACCAACTCGAAGTGGAACCCTGTCTCCAAAACGGAGATGAAGACATTTGTCGGGCTGTGTCTTGCCTTCGGTATTTTGAAGCTGCCAGCACGCAGGGATTTCTGGAGGCCATGGCAAGGGACCGCTTCGACATGATCTGGAGGTAATTATTTGTGTTTTGTTTTTATAATGAATAACTAGCATAATAAATTGTAATATAATTATGTGATGATGGTTGATAATGATAATACTAAATACAATAATGTTAATATAAATACAATACTGGCATAATGAATAAATAGCATAATAAATAGTAATATAATTATGGCATAATGAATAAATATAAATACTATAAATATACATAAATAACATAATACATATGAATAAATAAATACAATGATGGCAATAAATGTTATGTTAGAAATTATTTTTATCATATGCATTTTCAGATATCTCCAAGATAACATCGATGCATGAGCCAGAGATGTGAGCCATGGAGCTCAGAGACTGTTCCCAGTTCCACCTCAGGACTTTCCCCACCTCTCTCTCATAACAAGAATCCTTGTTCAGTGTGTTGGCATGTTTAAAATGTTATTTGTTTTATTTTATATAATTGATTTATATTTTTTTTCTTCCCCATATGATTTTGAGAATTTTTAGAAAAATGTGTTGTTATGTTAGTGCTAAGGGAGCATGTCTTAATAAAACCTGTGATTCTTACCTTTAAAATGTATTTTATTTCATGTTTCTAAGTACTACAGAGGCTGAGATATTAAGGTTTTGGTAGACGTTGACAATTCGAAGTATTTTTTCAGAAAACCCTCAGGAGATTAGGATATTTATCCTAGAATAACATAGGTTTTTATAGGCGTTTTTAGCAGGCGTTTTAGGAGTAAATGGGTTAAGTGACACTGTCCAACGGTGACACCATCTGTAAAGTTACGTTGAGAAGCAGCATCTCCTCGCCTCCCCTGAGCGCACTGAGTTTTAAGAGACCCCCTAAAGCGTGCGGTGGGTTTGGTGATGGGCAATTGAGAATGAATGGGGGAAAGTCACGTTTTCTGATTGAATAATTGTGTTAATGTGATAATTCATTAAAAAGTAAGTAAACAACTCACCAACTTAGATATCACCGCTTTGTCACAGCACATTCAAACTTAAAATGACTTTGGAAACACAAAAGGGGTTTTAGTGAGCGAGTTTGGCGAAATAAATTTGTTACTGCATTCTTATAGTTATTGTTTTGAAATAAATGTAAACTTGATGTAAAATGTGCTTGTTTTTAATAGATAGAACATTCATTGCATTGCTAATGTAAAAATACATTATAGAATAGTATTGGTTGTTGTTTTCTTGGTAGTCTAAGTAGCCTAATGTTTATTTATTTAACCTGAAAATGTGTCAACAACATTAAAGGTGAACTAAGTAACTTTTTACCTTAACCGAACAGCTTTGGAGTCATTGTAATGTTTATATTACTGATTTCGTGTTGAATGGTGGTCGTCTCGCACCCCCCTGGTGCCTGTGAGCCGCAAAACCACCCTTGCAACTTTGGGCTGGCGGGCCGCCGGCCTCAGTGTTAGGAAGTATCGTGTGATATCAGGTCTCGCGAGGTAACGAATTGCTTTACGGCAAAAAACAGATCTGATAAAATGAGCATCAAACAGAAATAACCCGGCGCCGTATACATGTGGTGTTCGAGGCGCACATACAATACAGACTGCCGACAGTTAAACAGGGCGCGCGCAGCTCTTAAAGGGGCCATACCTTATTTCCACTCGTTACAGCGTCCATCCTACTGAACAGGTACCGGAGTACAGGGGGAGGGAATCCGGCCGTGAGTGCGAGCCATCTCTGCGTGAGTGCTATTCACAACAGTACAAGTATTCCACAGCGACTCTAAGGGTCGCTGTTTGACAAAAACTGAATTCCTACTTGGTGCTGCTACTTGGTGCTGCTTTCACATTTAACTGGAATGTGAATTTACATTAAAAAAGGACTTTGCCTCCTCATTTCTGAACATCACTGCATGCCACTGATCTTTATGCACTAATTCAACAGCACAATCCACCTAGAAGGTCCGCCCCTTCCTGCTGTTCAAACTGAGACTCTTCTGTTTCAATTCAGTGTTTATGTTATGTCCATGATGTAACAAAATGCAAGTTGATTTCATTATGTTCATTTTCTAAATTTGTTTTAAATACCAAAATACTAAAAATGACAATTAAGTACACATAAGATCTGAAAAGTAAAGACAAGTGACATTATGTTTCTGAAATGAGTGTACATTTCAAAATGGGAGGTGAACTAATGAGTCAGCACATTAAAGAGATTGCTGGCATGTCGACTGAATGCTGAGTGCTGCATACAAAATAATACTGAATGGGTTAAAAACTATAAATAAACTGAATAAATATTCATCACAGGAAGATTGCATGGATGGAAACCAAAGAAAGGTTTTTCAACCATGTGAATTTGTCCTGAGCCTTGCAGTTGAATTGCTTATCTCTGCTTTAATTGACGTGTTCTGATTACCCATGCTCCTCTGAGACAGATTTGGGAGTGTCACAGTGCTTAGGACACCTGCCACAAACACAAACCTTTTGTGATGCTGATCAGGACTGTTTGAAAGCTATTGATTTAAGAAACATGATACAGAGAGATTTATGTGCCATATTTCAATGAGACACTGTTTACATTTCAGCATGAGCCAAATGTAAAATCTTTTCAAATACTAGCTATATTTACTTTCAATATCACATGCAACGGTTGTTGAATTTTGCAGATTGTTTGTCTGTTTGTGTCCAATTTCTACCAATTCTTTTTACAACTAGAGGTCTGAGTAAGCAACATGCATATTTGTCAATCTGTTTTTTTCCCCTACATGACGCACAATAAGACTTTGAGTTTTAAACTTTCATAGAATATCAAAGGGGTTGAACGTCGGTATCAAATGCTCCACTTAATGTTCTTGGTGACATCCTCACCTTTGACCTACAGAGGCATGTATAATTCAGCTGAGGTGAATCTGAGAGGCAATGAAAGTGTACTGGAGCTGCCGAAACAATTCCAGGTCACATGCTACTCAACCTCATCTGGAGGTTGATTACTTTAGCCTTCGAGTGCACATGATAGATAGATAGATAGATAGATAGATAGATAGATAGATAGATAGATAGATAGATAGATAGATAGATAGATAGATAGATAGATAGATAGTGATATGTAGCTATATGTAGGCTACATTTTATAGATATACTGTAATTGTACTGTCTAATAGGTTTGCATATCTATCTACATATCACTTAAAGCTGCAGTCCGTAACTTTTTGGGGTTAAAAATTATCCAAAATAAATTTTTGAGCAGGTACATAACCAGCCAGTATTCAAAACTATCTGCTTGCCTTAGCTCGATTCAAAACAGTAAACTTGTAATAATGTTTTTAACTCCAGTGGTACTGTTGGATTTCCACGGGAAATTCGAGCATGTCTTTGCGTCATTACGTCACATCTGTACACATAAAGGAGGTGTTCAGATGACATTTTCCAGTGAAAATTCTTATGTTGGTCATACTTCCAAAAAAGTAGAATCTGTGATTCCTAATGACAGTATCCACACCAGCGCGGTGACTGACAGCCGCACTTTCTCCTCAAAACATTGGTCCGCGCTGTGCCGCGCTGAGGCACAACCCACCTAAAGTTGATAATTCTGCGAATAACTGCAATTGCAGATTTTGAACAGAGATGGCGACAAAGAGGAAAAACTACGGACTGCAGCTTTAAAATGTCTATCCTTTAAGTTTCATATATATATATTCCTGTATAGATATAGATATATAGATAGATAGAATGAAAATGCATTTCATTTCATACCAAATAAATGGCTTTCCAAACAAATTACTTGGAAGTGTGAGATAAATAGTCTGTTTCCTTTCAGGCCATACAGTGGACGGAAGCCATGTTCTCTGGTGTCTCTCTGCTTAGTGACAGACACACTGTGAAATGAGGGCCTATTAGTCACAGAGCAATTTCATATCTCCATTCCACAATACTGACATCAAAACAGCACCACAGACCTTTCTAACCAGTGTTTGATGACCTTTGAGGAATAATGATGGGCAAAGTGGGTAAACCATTATGTGTATAGTTGAACAGATGGTGCAGGTATATTTGATAGACATAAACAAGGCAGAGGAATTTGTAATCTTAACCTGAACCAACTTACATTCGAGATGTTTCTTTTTAGGTGCCATCACCTCGTGCGTGGTCGCTTTACACACCGCACGAGCCACCTCGGATCCCGTGAGGCTGTACTGCGCCGCGGCGATGCGGTCCGTCAAAGTCTGACCCGACATCTTTCTTCTCTCGCGGAATCAAACGCCCTTACTCCCGTATAAAGAGACGCGTTGATTTGCTCCAAAGCGTCCAAAAGGATGAGGCCCTTTAAAATGGATTCGCGGCCAAAATTTGCGATATTAATATGATGTTATTGTTATCAAGATGAAATCTTTAGCATGGATGATGAGCTATGTACATATCTAAGGCAATACTAAAACATACAGAGCTAGACTCCGTGTTTACTAAAATATAAATTTCAGGTCAACGCCTGCGCTGTGTATTCCCCTCGTGGGGATGCGGGAGATGCGTAACGACTATTTCAACCGCAAATAGTTATTAAAAAGAGAAAACGGTGAGCTTGAATGTTATAAAAGACAATTTATATAAAGTACTAAAGGATTGTCCTCGTTATTTCCACTTTATATTGAAAGAGGCTGTTAACGATGATGCTCGGCTCGAACAGTCGTCCTTCTCTCCTCCTCCAGATCAAGGATTAATCTTCCCGACAAACCCCGCTGGATGTGCAGTCACCCAAACCTTCAAACGGCTTGCGTTGTTCTCCTCATCTCTAAAAGACGCTCTCCCTACTTTTTATTCACCCTGTGGCTATGTCCAGTTTCGGACAATTGCTGAACAAGGAGGATGAAACGCAGCGATAACGGGAAGCCGCGGTCCCTGATGGACTCAATATTTATTTATTTTTCCTATCACTCCGCCCCCACGCATGAGTCAGGTCACACGTCATTAAAAACCCAGATTGCGTTTTACTATCTGCGCCCCATGTAAATGCGTTGTTTTATTGCTATGGTAACTGGAGGTGGGGATTTTGATTCCTCTTGGAGGATTGGATATTTTCAGTGAGTAAGCTCACCCTAAAGATCCGTTCAGTGGCTGTTATTCGTGATTAAAATTAGCTTGTCTAAACAATTTTCTTCAAGTTTCTCAACTGCTTGATATGACCTTTATTAATAAAAAAACACAACAATGTCACAAATATAAAATTAACCCTCTACTGTTCGAGTGTCGGTCAAAAATTACCGATTTTTTTCCAATTAAATTATTGTACAATATTTTAGTTCGCTAATGTTTTTATGTAATATTTTCTATTTTTAGGGAATTTTATGCTACTAAATAGTATTTATGCAGTAGTTAAAAGTTTTAAAAAGTGAACTTGAAAAAAGTTATACAATTTTACATTGTTATAAAAAGTGCACAAAAATACCATTTTCAGTTTTTGTATTTTAGGTATGAAATATATATTTCCCAAAACATGTTTTACTCTAAAACTGTGAGAAAAATCAAAGCCATAAATCTAAACAAACTGTTCTAAATTTGAGGTTAATATCTCAAAATGATGTGCTTTCAGTAAGAACTAGTTTGGGCGCAGTACCAAATGTTTCCAATAGATGAAATTCGTCTCCCATTCATTTCCAATGCTGTAGTTTTTGACATTTTTTGTCAGGACCATTTAACCTTTTCGAATCATGTCCATGTTTTTTTTTTGTTCACACAGTAAGAGCCAAAACCTTTTCCAAGTTTCGTACCATTTAAACAGCACCAAAGGGTTAAATAATAAATAATATAAAAAATATACTTATGTCATTTTAATGGTGGTCTTCATTAATTTTATAAATTCATAATCCCCCCCATTTGATTATGGCTGTACTTTAGTTAATTTAGATCACCCTTTAAAGAAGAAAAACAGCTGTAGTGAAGCATGTGGATTGGAACATGTCTGTTTTATTTCCTATCACTCTTACTTTACTCTGCTATGCAATAATGTTTTTCCATTATGGCTTTGATCATTTTTAAAGCAACATTACTTTTAACTATCTGCATATATGTATTTTTACACGAAAGGTTTTTGCTGACAATTGCAATCTAATCCAAAAGGAAATAAATATTAGTGCAAGTTTGATTAGTTAGTTATGGACATGAGGTCTGTTACAACCCTTTCTGTGGATAAGGAAATTCAAAAATGTTTTAAATTCACATGATATGTCTCTTTTATTAGGCAAGTCACCACAATATGGAATGGCACAGTATCATCATACTATCCTATGGGCTCAAAAAAATGAAAGAAAATCATCACAGCTGGCCATATTTACATTAAAAGAATTTAAATTAAATAGTATAGCTTTTGGGGAAAAATACATTAATTAGAAAAGCAAACAAATGTACAAACTTCTTTTTTTTGTTCTCTTCCATTTTTTTTAAAAGGTGAGGTGTTAGTGTTTTTGCTCAATAGCTTCACTTTTTGTTCATGTCAGGTCACGTTTTGATGAGTCCCTCAAGGAAGTCCTTCTCAACCATTTCCTCAATGTTCTGTCTGGCCCGGCTCCAGAAGACTTTCTGGCTCTCCAACTTCCCATCCTTGCTAGGGAATGGGCCGTCTCTGGGAGTAGGGCTGTGATATGGTCCTGAGCGGCTGTTGCCTTTACTGCTGAACACCTGACTGAGAAGGTTGAAGAAAGGGAGGAGCTGCTCCATGCTGCGGATCACATAAAGGGTGAGCAGGAGCTGTCCGGGCTCCCAGGACAGAGTGCGTGTGGAGCAGTCTTCCTCTGGATTTTTCTAGAGTTAATGGAGACATTCCCATGAGGGTAATGAACATCCTAGGCTTAGGAGCATTAGCAAATCTACTGAGTAGTCTATAAATGTTATAGGTCCTATGCTAATCACGTGGAATGAACCTCTATTAAAATAACAAGGCAACAATTGGAAAGAACAGATTTCCATTGATTAATCCTAAAAGGGGCGACATTTAAGAGGCTGTGGGGAGAGGCAGGGAAAGTGTAGGTCTCCTTTCTTGGTTTCATGTTGAAAGGGTGTTTGTTGTGAATATTTAGATCTGGTGACTTTGTTCACACATTCTTTGTTTAGCTCATGGGCAACATTTAAAAACAGCATGAACACCTGTAGTGGGATACTCACCTTCAGATAAAAGTTGCTTTTTAAAAGTAAAACTATTTTAATCTTATTTGGGTCCTAATGAGATGGAAAATAGCAATAAACATAAATTCTCTGATGTCTCTTTATGGTCTTGCCCTTTTTAGGGTTAATTGCATATTGTGGCGACTGTTTTGTGGTCGTATTACCTTGGCCCTTTTTCTCAGCAGCTTGGCCAGTCTTACAACATAGGGCTTGAACTCTCTCTGATGGGTCCCCTGTCTGCGGACCTCCAGACCAGAGTCATCCGAGGCTTCAGGGACAAAAGCCCAGCGATACCTGTGGCACAGTGTATTATTATTTCCTTCAAAGTTTGTCATGAACTTTATCAATGAAGAATACTGATTTAATGTAAAAGGATGAATAGTTTTCACAGCTCGGAACAAAAGTGCTTTGCACACTTGAAATAGTTAACCCTGGGTCATTCTAAACCCGGGGTAAACAGATTCCTGGGTTATCACGTTTCACACTGCTCCTGATTTAGAGTTAACAGTTAATCCTGGGTAATCATAAGCTGCACTGTACATTCCTAAACCCTGTGTTAATGTCCTTATTTGCATATTTGCTGTGTCAGTGTCATTGAATCGACAAAAGCAGCATGCGACCTGTTTAGACTTTTTGAACTATAACGGTAAGAAATAAATGAAACAGCCTTTTCTTCACTCCAAATAACATATTTTCCATCACCATTTCTCAAACACAGTGTTTCTGTGACTGTCCAAACCATGTGAATATGAGGCAAGCAATTGGGTGTACGTTGCTAAGCATCTAGCCATAGCATTCTAACACCACATAATTTCACACTACAAGTTTGGCACTGCAATGCAGTGTTACCGCAAGAGCGGTTTGTGAGGTTTCATAACTTTGGGTAAAAAAAACGGTGCAAACCTCACTTTTAAATTACAAGTGTGAAATGTTCCTCTATCGAGGGTTAAATGCAGTATTTAGAAAAACGATAACCTGGGGTTAAGTGCAGTGTGAAAAGCCCTATAAAGCCCAATAAATATTACTAGCTTATTCAAATGAGTCCCTTCCTTGTACAAAAATACATTTCAAACATTTAATGTGTAAAAACATGTAAAAACACCCACATCTGGAACTGTGGCAGACTCTCAGAGGGCAGAGCAAGGGCCAGGTCCAGCAGCTTGCAGGCAGACAGGTAGAGGTTGAGCCAGCGCTGGCTGTTGTAGGAGGTAGAGAAGCCATTGCCCCCTGAGTATGTTGTCTCGAGCCCTGCAACCGAGGGGCCTGAGGTCCTGGAGAGAGGCCAAAGACCACATTCATCAGTATTCAACATGTACAAATCACCTATAAGGTCTTAAATGGAGCCTGATTTTATTTCTTGAACAAAAGCTAAAAGATAAAACAGATTTAATAAATGGATACCTGGTGATGTCCTCATCTGCAGTGAGTTCTTGTTCCATGAGTAAGAACACCTGAACCTGTGGGAAGAAATGAACATGGTTGATTCTAATAGAACGAGACAAAAAAGCTCTACCAAATAACTATTGCCATCCAGATTCTCCCTGGGAACTTCTGTTATTTCACCATCAAGGCCAAGAGCTTACAGACTGATTTGTGAGATGCTGCTTGTGATTATTTATAATATGTAAATGTGAGGTGTGTCATATCCTCACCAACTCAGTGATCATAGTGGGCCAGAGTGAGGTCAGGTGCTGGGGGGACATGCGCAGTAGCAGCACTCTGAAGAAGAGGAAGACCTGAGCATGGAGGATGGGCACTTGAGGGAGTCGTAGGCTCTCCACAAGACGCTCTGAAACGACATTGTGTGAAATGTTAAGGACTGTGTATACAGAGCTGAAAATCTCATTGACAGCGGAAGCTTTTTCTCTGAAATATAAGAGCAACAAATACAGCAGAACAAACTGTGGGCCGTCATCTACTCAATCACGCAGCGTGACTCACAAGAAACTGTTTAATTCTCACCCTTTAATAGTATTTATAGCTTCTAATGTTAAACAGGCTGTGTGACAATGAGGAACAATTACCTCAAAAATGTTCACTGGTGTGCAGGTGTGAGGAGTATTTAAGTGAAATACATATACCTCTCTCTCTATTGCTCACGTGCAGAGTGCTGTTTGAAAGTTGGCATAGGTTCCCGACCCCTGATTTAGAGCTTATTATGTGCGCTAGATTACTAGGCTGCGCTTCACTTAATTTTTTATGCCCTTCCCTCACTAACTTCCCTCCATATCATTGATGTCTATCCGTTTCAGATGTACATCAGTGCTTACGTTGGACTACTGGCGATTCTTAAGATTGTCCACTACTGGCAGTACCCTTGGAATGGATTGAATTGGAAAGTCCCAAGCCCTTGATCACTTGGAAATCTTACTGGAACTGATTTATTATTTGCATTATATTGTTTATTTATTTTTCCTAATTAATTAGTTTGATGCACAATTCTATATGCCAATAGGTATGCTTGAGCTGTTGGAGAAAATCTATAAAATTACACAAACTAATAAAATATCAATACAATAACCTTATAAGTTAAGAGTTAATAGGCAATTAATAGATTAAACCTATTAAGTGCAATATACTGTGGCGTTACAATCATGTTGCATTGTGGTGTATGTGTGCTGCCTGAAGTTTGCATAGGAGTCGCCTCACTCCCTCAGTCAAGGGTCTGTCGAGGGGGTCGAGGGTCTGTCCATATAAGCTTTCCTCGTTTACTTGAGGAACTGGAACTCAATTCAAATTGGAGATGAAGAAGAGCTCAGGGAAGTTTGCAAGTGTGT